ACAGCCCCGTATAAGTATCCCAGGAAGGTGAGTAAGGACAGAGGGATAGGATCTGGTCCCCTCCAGTGGGCCCAGGGCTTTGCTGCCCCAAATCTCCTCAGGTGAGCCTTATGTAGGCCATGGAATGAGCATTTTTCTCTACCAAAGAAGCATTAAACTTAAGGGTTTAGGGGAGATCAGAGAAACCTCTATCCTGTGTCAGAAAACAAAAAGGCTGGCAAGTCAACCCACAGAAGAAAAATCAGACAAGAGCCTAGAAATATCCAAGAAGGTTATTTGTAATCTTTCACCATTTGAAAAAGACATTCAAGTTAACAATTGCCACACTTTTAAAAAACATTATTTGTGGTAAGAAATGTATTCTAAATTGAAGCCCAATACATATATAGATATACAACAAACCAAAGTTAGCAAAATAATATTTATTGTAGCATAAAATACATTCTGAGAGTTTTTACTCTTTCTGTTTTGTTTTCAGTGCCATGTGCAAACCATGAAAATGTCCAACAATAGAGAAATGATTAAATTATTCATGGTACTTAATGCTGTCCTATAATTTAAAAAGATGACACAGATTTTTTTATTTGTAATATAAAACATCACAAAAATATCTTATTAAGAGAAAAAAGCAGGCTGTGAATAAATACGCATGTTATCTGACTTGTTGAAAAACAATGTTTGAAAGGACACATGGGCCAAAAATTTAACATGTCCTTCTTTTGTACTAATATGTTGCTGTGTTTTCTGGATGTTTACCTTCCAAACATAAAGGTAGACAGGTAATATTTATTGAACTCTTAATGTGTGTGCCAGGCTCTGGACTCAAACTTTACATGTATTATTATTTCATTTAATTCCCCCAAACCTGAGATGGTATAACCATCCACCTTATAGAGTGGAGATGGAGGCTCAGAGACTCGCAGTAAATTGCCTGAGGTTGGAGTGAAGAAATGGGCAGAGCTGGAAGTCAAAGCCATTGGTCTCAGACAACAGAGTTCATGCTTCAGTTGTAAGGCTGTCCTGCCTCATAGAGAGAAGACAGGAGGATGCATGCCAGTTAGGAAGGGCCAGATGTTACTGTGAGTAACCCGTAGCCCTGTGTCTTAGCGGCTTCTACTAGGGAAGTATGTTTTTAGCACCTGCCATATGTCCACATGGTCTTCGTGGGACCAGGATAAAAGAGCACCCACCATAGATAACCGCCAGGTGCTATTATATGAGATGGATGGAGGGGGAGCCAGACTCAGTCCCAGGTGTTCTGTTCGAGGCAGCACGTCTCACTCCCTTGCACATCTCCCTGGTCAGAGCTCATTACAGGACTACATCCAACTTCCTGAGTCAGAGGACAGCCTGACATTCTTGGTGGAGCCTCTTGGGGCCACAACATGGTGCCAGTCCATCTGGGGGACTATGCAGGATCAGAGGAGGGGCGTGGGATATTGGTAGGAAATGACAGCAGGACTAACTCAGGGTGGGTTTGCTTTATCCTTGACCAGGTGGAGTTTGTCTCAGAGCTGCCCAAAACCATCAATGGCAAGATTAAAAGAAGTGAACTTCGGAAAAAGGAGTATGGTCAGATGTAATCGGCAAAACTCTCAGAAACCACTGAGCCATCTTCACCAAATCCCTGGTGCCTCGGTTTCCCCACTGTGGGGAGGATAAGGAAGGGAGTGATTGAGATTGATTTGTAAGAGCATCAGGGGTGCCCACATTCCAGCATTTTTGCTCTTTTAAATTAGTATCAGTTAGTCTCTTGTTTCCAAGTCCACCAGTGAGCGCTCAGAATGTGGCCGGGGTAATAAACTGACATTAGCATCCAAGGGGGACTTGTGTTGTGCTTTTACTTTGTAAATGAACTGGTGCTAAATTCTGTCCCTCCAGGATTCTCCCCAGACCCCATCAGCGAGGACTCTAGGGCCAGATTCTCCCTCCTTGTTCCAGGGACCTGGGTGACTCCTTCTGTCTGTTCAACAACCAGGACACAGAGGTCTGGGGAGGGACCCTTCCTTGGCATTGGGTGTCCACCTCTGCCTGGCTTGCCACGCCCTGCTGGAGGGTGAGGTCAGGGTCAGAGGTAGTGAGGTGGCTGGGGAAGGAGGAAGAGGCCGAGGGCAGCCCAGCCTGGTGATTCCACTTACCTGCCAGACCATTCTTCCCAGCTCCATCCAGCATCCCGTTGATCTGCTGCTGCTGCTGCTGCTGCTGCTGCTGCTTCCAGACCCCCGCCAGCTCCAGCAGAGCTGTGGGAGGGATCTGCCCTGTGGGGACCCAGGAATCCTGTAAGATGCCTCCAACCCCCTCCACAGTTGCCCAAATCCCAATGTTCCAAGGAGCCCCAGAACTCTGTTCCCCAGCCCTGTAGGATCCTTCACTCGCTCACCCTCCCCAGGGCCCAGGAATCCCTCAGTCTAGCCAGGGGCCTAGAGCTCTCCCACAGTTCATGCGGAGCTCCTGCCATCTGGAGCCTGAGAGATGATGTGTGCAAAGGGCAGGGCTTAGCACAGGCTTGAAACAGGAGGGGACTGTGGTTGTCACCTGGGCTGCCTTTAATAACTGTGAGATGTGAGGCACTGGATCTGGAAAGACTCTTGGCCCATGGAGATGATGACGCCAATGTCTGTATGTGCTCAACATGTGGCTTCCTCTTGCCTGTCGCACAGTTATGGACACAGGCTTGGACACTCCCCGTTCACTGAAGGAAAATAGCTCAGGGTCACACACCTGGTAAGCAGGATGGCTGGATCTCAAACTCTAGATTCCTGGTTTGTCTCCAGGGGCGACAAAGGGTTTCGTAGATGGGAGGCTGACACTGGCTTTTGGGAAACATCCTCAACTCCATGACTGATCTCACCTGTTTGAGGCCCCCAAACTCTGTTCCCTGCTTCTTCTTTCCCTGCTCCCGGTTCCAGTTCTAGTCAAGGTGACTCTGGCCATCGTTCATGGAATTCCCTGGTCCGCCTTATAGGCTGGGCCTCTCTCCTGTTCACTTTTGGGCTAGTCTGACGCACCCCTTCCATAGCTGGTCTCTCCTTCTACAACCAGGACAGCCCAACTCTGGGGCTCTTGAGGTGGACAGCAGCATCTAAACAGAATTTAACACTATTGTTTTGTTATCCTTGTTGTTGGCTTGTTTTTTATGGTTTCTTTATCTTTATGGTAAAGATGTTCTCCTACGTGAGGGTGGCTGGAGTGGTGGGGAGGTGGGAGGGATGGGGTGTCTGGGGGATGGACGTTGGGGGGGGGGGTATGTGCTATGGTGAGTGCTTGAATTGTGTGAGACTGATGACTCACAGAGCTCTACCCCTGAAACAAAAAATACATTATATGTTAATAAGAAAAAAAAGCTATTGTTCTCCTATTTTAGCAGTGCTAGAATGGTTCCTACTTAAAAGAAATTTACATAATAATAAAGTGGTGGTTTGTAGAGCACTGGTTTTCAGCTGCCTTGGGCCTAAAGGAGTTGAGGAAACATTGTGTGAGTCCTAGGGAGACACTGTTTAGGAAGTTCAGCTCAGAACAGGGCTCAGTAGAGAGGATAACATGGGGTTTGTCTAGTCTCCTGGGCCTCTGGCGCTGCCCACATGCTTGGCTGTCCCCACCCAGCACATCTGGAGCTGCCAACTCTCTGGGTGTTGTCCTGCATCCCCCAGAGGAGAAGCTGGTGAAAGTCTTCTCTTAAAATGCTCTCATTCCTGGAGGTCCCAGGAGATGCCATGAGAGTCCGATTGGATTGTTTCCCTCTGAGCTTCATCATATAAAGCCGAAGCTAGTGGGTAGGAGGGTCACAAAAGAGAAGTGACAGATCTACTCTGTTCAAATGTCTCGGCCAATTAGGGATGACTTTGAGACCATGCAGTCTTCTCACACTAATACCAGAGGATATTCCAGCCCAGAAGACATATTTGATTATAACTGTATCATGCTCATATCATTCAGTTCCAATGTTGCTCTTTTTCTTTTCTTTTTCTTTACTCCTGTTTCATTGATAGAGGTACTTCTCAATTTCTAAACATACGTGAATTTCTAGTTAGCTTTTAATCAGTGATTTCTAGCACGTTATGTTACCACAACATGCTCTGTTGTTGTCTGTGATTTCATGCGTCTGAAAAAAAATTGAAATTTCCCTTATGGCCAAAGCAAATCGGGAGCATTTTTGTAATGGTCTCCTATGTGCCTAAAATCTGTGCGTCCTCCACAGTGGATATGGATATGGACAGATGTATGGAGACAGCTGTGGGATTCAGATGGTTTGCCATCAAGATCATTATCTTGTGGATGTTCTGTCTGCGTTGAGTTGCTGGGAGAGGGCTGGAACCTCCTACTCTGGTGGTGTATTTTACTGTTGTTGCATTTGGTCCTCCTTTGCTTTCTAGTTGTTCAGTCCCTGGCTCTCAGACGGGAGTTTAGAAATGAAGGAGAGTGCGCCCAGAAGAGGGAACAGGGACCTGGGTTGGAGGGAGCAAACAAGAAGGATGGTCAAAGTTACAGAGAGGACCTGTCGTTGGGATGGCACATGGTGGGGTATCAGGTGGGAAAGGGCTTTGTACCAACGAGGTCACCTGTGGCATCCATGTTGAGCTACTAGGGGCAAAGGCAGCTGATTGGTGGAGAGATTAGAAAGGTTCTAGGTTGCTAAGGAAACGTTCAAACCCGGGAAGGCTTGGTGGAAGGTGGATTCTCCACACCAACTGCTCCTGAGAGTTCACTTTACCTGCTAATGTGTCCTGCTGACCTCATGATTTACTAATCTGCTGACCTCCTAACCTTTCTGAACTGTGCTCCTTCCCCTCAAGTACATTATCTCACTCTGACACTGTCCCTGACCCCTTCTTCTGACCAACACTTCCCCATCCTACCCTCTATTTCCTCCCTATTCCCATCCCTAATTACCACCCTGTCCCCTCCCCACCCCTTCCTAGCCCCCCACCCCTCGCTCCCCTGCCCCCCAACCATCTCCACCTCCTCCCTGGGGCCACAGTGCCCCTTAAAAGGATGAGGACATGATGCTGCAAAGGCTGCTCTTCTGGTTCCTCTTGCTCCCGTGTCCCAGTTCCCCAAACCTAAATGTGAGTAAACATGACACTTTAGTGGTGTCTTCCTCCTTCTTATTTTTTTTTTTTTGGATATTATTTATTTGAGCAATAGAGAAAAAGGGTACAGGTGTAGGGGGAAGAGCAGAAAGGGTGGGAAAGAGAGAATCCCAAACCAGCTGTGCAGTGAGCCCAGAGCCCAAAGAGGGGCTCTACCTCAGGACCATGAGATCATGACTTGATCCAAACCAAGACTTGGTCACTTAACTGACTGAATTACTTGGGTGCCCATGAAAAAGTAAAACCTGTACCCCCAGGAGAGAGAGTCAGACAACAGTTAGGGAACACCCCTGGAAATAAGTAGACTTCTTTAGATCTGCTTGCACCAGATTATGAAAGAGGGGTCTGGAAGTGTCAGTAGTCAGGAAGGACCCTTGTACGGAGGCAGACTCATCCCACACGATGACCTCTAGTCAAAATAGACTTCATTCTGTTTCATTTGTGTCTTCAGAAGAGGGAATTTCTTGGTCATCTTGATTGGAATTATTCCCCTCTACCTAGGCTGCATCTCATGGATCAGTTCACCTTTCTCACCCTACCCCATCTCTGAACTCTTGCCTAAATGAACTGGTCTTTCATTTCCCACCTCCACCTGCTCATGACCACTGTCTGAGAACCTGGTGTTTTTTGCCCCACTGGCTGTCATCTAGTTACGAGTCAGCTACTTCTAACAGCATCCAGACAGCTGCCAGATGTACTGAGTGCCCACAACTGGGCATGTTTTACATTCCTGACAAGATGGCTTCTGTCTTTTGTGCATTTGATACCCGTGATCAACCTTGTGCTGACAGCTACTGCTCTCTTTCAGACAGTGGCTATTCAAAGACAGTGTACTTTTCCCACCAGAACACATTTTCCTGACCTCAGCTGTGAGGGCTGAAGAGGAAAATGTTATAGATTTCAGGATCTCCTTTCTAGAGAGGTGTGTTTGCACAAAATTCAAGCTTGGTGTGAATTAGTATAAATTGCATTGTTAGTATCTTTTACCCTGTACTACTTTAAATGTAGTTTTTGTAAAATGATGTGTTCTTTGCCTTGGTGTTCATATCCAGGAATTTCGTATTCTTTTAGAATTCCTGGGCACCTGGGTGGTTCAGGCAGTTAAGTGTCTGCCTTAGGCTTGGGTCATGATCCTAGGGTCCTGGGATTGAGCCCTGGTTGGGCTCCCTGCTCAGCTGGCAGTCTGCTGCTCAGTCTCCCTCTGCCCTTCACTCTCTCTCTTTCAAATAAATAAATACATTCTTTAATATTTTCTCTCTTTAAAAAGTTAAATTTTATAGTTGTTATTGCCTGATTTAATTACAGTACTAAGAAATAGGAACATGAATTCCTTCCATTGGCTTTTTGGAGATACTAAACCTCACAGATATCCTTAAAACATACATGATCACCTGATTATGCAAATCCTTATGTACTTCAGAAATCTGACATTTTGGACTGTGATTCAGAAGCGAAGTGAACATTGAAAGAAAACATCAATGATTTCAGAAACTAAGCAATAACTCTAATTTATTTTTATTGGAAAATCACACATCATATTAACGAGCAGCCTCCTGTCTCTCTCACTTATGTCCTAATCTATAAACATCTGTCCATATAACATGCTCATTTGTACCTCTAGTACATTATATTCATGCTTTCTCTCATTCTTCCAAAATTTTGGGTGTAGTTTTGGAAATGTTCCAAAAGAGTTTTTCCAGGTCCTTCATGGATGTACAATAGAAGTTTAAGACGTTTAAGTTTACATTGACTTATCTTGTGTATTTTATGTTGGCTTATAAATTCTCAAGTTCTGTTAGCTATAGAAAAAAATTTGTAATGTGCTTGTAGGTAAAGTAAGATCTCTTAAGATTTGTCTATTAGATTTTGCCTATAGCTTCAGTGTGTTATAATGTATATGTGATCACAACATCTTTTCAAAGAATACTGTTTATTAATATTGGACATAGGTAAGCAACAAGGAAACCATCACCATGGTAAGATGATAAACACACTCATCACTCCCCAAAGTTTGCCCCAGCTCCTTGGTCATCCCTCTGTGCTCCTTCTCCTCCAGGAGGAGGTAGTTGAGAGAGGTATGCTTACCTCCTGGAGGCTGGTTGAGGGTTTGTAAAGTTGATTCTCTGTGACAGATACACAGTAAATGTCTTTGAGATTCCTCATTGTCTCAAATGGTATTTCAGCTTGTCCTTTCCTTGCCTGACCATTTCTGTCTTGGCCCCAATGTGATTAAAGTTCTGTGGAAGTTTCTCATTTTAACTGCCTCCTTGGGAACCTGTGCCTTTCTCATTTACTTCTGGAGAACCGTCCTCACTGTAAGTATACTAATGTACCTTCTACACTTTCACTCATAAATAAGCAGAAAATTTTATAGTCACTGGACATTTTTATGTCCATTCAGTACTACAAATTTCCCTCTAATATGTCCATTTTGATTATCACCTAGATTGATGTAGTTCTAAATTTCTATTGAAGTGCCTTCTTGATCCATATGTTCTTTTTTTTTTTTAAGTTCAAGCATGATTGACAAACAGTGTAATGTGAGTTTTCACCCATCCCTCCACCCATTTGCCCTCCCACCCTTGTCTTCTTTAGAAGTGTGCTGTTGAATCTCCATTTTTTGGTCATTCTCCAGGTATCTTTCTGTTCTCTATCTCTAGTTTGAGTCATCTGTGGTCTGAGAGCATAATTCCTGGGATTTCGATTCCTTTGTTGGTTCACATGTGTTGTATGGCCCTGAATAAGGCCTCTCTTGATGACTGTTCCATGTGAGCTTGAGAAGAAGTCTATACCTCATCGTTGAATCAAGTATTCTGCCGATGTTAGTGGATGCAGTGGATGGGTGATGCTGGTCAGTTCACCTGTGTTCTCATGGAATTTCTGTATCTCTGGGTCTGTCAATGACTGATAAGAGGGTTTTGAATTCTCCAGCTGTAGGAATGGATTCATCTGTTCCCACCAGCAATATTTTCAGTTTCTGCTTCATGTGCTCAACTAACTCTGTTGTTGATGCATGCACATTAGAAATTGTTGTGTCTTTTGGAGAATTGACCCCTTCATCATTGAAATACTGCCCCTCATTATTCCTGATGGTTTTCCTTACTCTATGGTGTGTTTTGAAGGATTCTTTCACTGGCAACAGGTTTCTAGTCCGATGTTTCTTTAAACACTGTAAACATTTCATCCTTCTTGATGGCATGGTTTCTGAAAAGAAGTGTGATGTTGTTCTTATCCTTCTTCCTCTGGAGTAAGGCTTTACTGGCCCCCCTTCCCCCACCCACTCCCAACCCCTGCTCCAGATTTCCAGAATTGTCTTTAATGATCTGTAGCTACATATTCTAGATTAGGCATCATTGGTGTTTTCTGTTCGTTGTTTGTGTGCTTGTTTTGGTATTTATCCTGCTTTCATTGTTTTGATTTTCCTGGATCTTGATTTGGTAACTCCATTAATTTCAGAAAATCCTCTGTCATTGCTTCAAATATCTCTCCATCCATTCTCCTATAGGAATAGGTATTCCTGTTATGTGTGTGTTACACATTTTGTAATGACCTACCAATCTTGGATTTTCTGTGCTGTCTTTGTCATTTTTGTTTTTGTGTTTCTTCTTTGGAAATTTCTACTGGACATTCTTTACTGTCAATGATTCTGGTTTATTTTGAGTCTTCATGAAGCCAGCACAAGCACTCTTGAGTTCTGTAATGGTGGTGTTGTCTAGAATCATGTTACAATCTTAGAGTTTCATATCTCTGCCCACATTTACCATCTCTTCTTCCTCTTGTGCACTTTTCCCTGAGACCCAGTATCATACTTGGAGGGGACTTTAAAGTCCCAGCCTGCTCTCCCCATCACTTCTGCCACAGGAAGTGTGATTCTCATGCTTGCTGTTACGGTTTTAACCTGTAGTATGCCTTGTAGGGTTATGTTGAAAGCTAGATACTGTGTCCTGGTAAAGGAACTGAGGTAAGTGGGATGTTAGGGAGAGGTTTTCTGCTCCTCTGGCTCAGGGTTAGACTGAGTTACTCGCCGGTGAGACAGGGAGGAGATGGCACTGGAGCTGAGTATTTCCCTCACCTCTGTGGCTTAACCTTTGGGAAACCCCAAGTTAGACTCTGGTGACATAGTTTCACTTGAGGGCAGACCTTTCTAAGAAGAAAGAACTCTTTTGAGTTTCTTTCTACGTGGGAATATTCCTCCCTCCCTGCCAATAGAGAAAGCTTCCCTTCAAAGAGAAAAGAAAAATATTATGTACTTGGTGTAGCAATCTACCTTTACACTTCCCTTGCCTATGGGGTTGGTGACAAGGGCCAGGGGAGCTCAGAGGTTCCTAATCAACATGTGAAATTAAAGGAATAACCATGGCTTTCTAATTGCCCTCCACTGATGCACTCTCCACAACAACATATTATGACTGGTTCATTGATAGCATGGTGATATTCCAATATCCTGGCAAGATTTGGGGGTTGGCCTCAGCCTCTCATCATCCTGTAAAACTTTTGAATGGGGAAATATATTAATGGTATCAAAATGAGGTGTTGCCGAGATGTTATTGAGCTTTAATAACATCAGGGTGACTCGAGTCTGAATTGCCTGGCTCCCCTTTTTGGAAACATCCGCTGTCTTTTCTATTGTGGCTGATGCTTCATCCCTCATCACAGGCCACTCTTTTTCTCATCAGATGGCTTTTACTTCTTTTTGATGACACTCCATTTGAAACAGCCTGGGAAACTTCATAGCATAACTGTGTGTGAATTCAGTAAAACAGCCAGCTCTTTGTAAGTTTCAGGAAAGCTTTCTAGATAAGGAAAGAGGCATATCTTTGACACAGCTTTTGCTCCCTTGCCTGTCTGCCTTCCTTCCTTCCTCCTTCCATTTTCTTTCTTTCAGGATTTTAAAATAGTCCCAGGTTCTGTAGTTCAGTGCAGATACTGGGTTGCAAAAAAGTTAAGGAAATATGCTAAGTGAAATAAGTCCAGTAGAGAAAGTCACTTATCATACGGTTTCACTTATTTGTGGAACATAAGGAATAGCATGGAGGATATTATGAGAAGGAAGAGAAAAATGAATTAGGGGGGCAGAATCAGAGAGGGGAGATGAAACATGAGAGACTATGGACTCTGGGAAGCAAACTGAGGGTTTTAGAGGGGAGGGGTGTGGGGAGATGGGTGAGCCTGGTGATGGGTATTAAGGAGGGAACGTATTGCATGGAGCACTGTGTATTATAGGCAAACAGTAAATCCTTGAACACTGCATCAAAAACTAATGAGAGAGACACAGGACCAGAGCATGGGGACACAGTTAGATCTCGGGATGTCCAGCACAGGGGACATTCCTAAAGGAATGCACCGGAAGCATTCACAAAGGAAATGGACCACGTTCACCAAGAAACAACCGGCTGATTTGGAATCCTTTTTTAGCAAGAACCCCTACCCCGCTCCCAAACTTCAGAAAGAAATGGCCTGGAAACTGGAGATCCATCCCACTGTACTGCAGAGCAAAATTCGGGAAAGCCAAACAGCAATTAGCTGGAGTAGAAGTCAAGATCAGCTCTTCCAAGGGGCCCATGGATGCCCCTCCAGGTTTCCCCCATGGTGCCTACCAAGCTTCCCTGGTTTATACAGATCACCTAATCCCTTCCTTCCAACTCAGCATATGCTCAAATCTAAAGGTTCTCCCAGACCATTCTGTTGGCCACAAAATAGTCCATTTTGGGCGCTGCCAAGACCGTAACATCTACTCCCTTTGTCCCATTATGGAATCTCAAATTCTTCCCACAAGCTTCACTGCTAGTTCTCTTGGTTCTTCATCTCCACAAAGAACTTCAGGAGCGGGGCGCCTGGGTGGCTCAGTGGGTTAAGCCGCTGCCTTCAGCTCAGGTCATGATCTCAGGGTCCTGGGATCGAGTCCCGCATCGGGCTCTCTGCTCAGCAAGAAGCCTGCTTGCTTCCCTCTCTCTCTCTGCCTGACTCTCCGTCTACTTGTGATCTCTGTCTGTCAAATAAATAAATAAAATCTTTAAAAAAAAAAAAAAGAACTTCATGAGCAAAGCCAGACACAAAAGGTCACACGTACTGTAATGATTTGCGACGAATCCTGTCTGAAAGTTTCGAGATCCATGCAACATGGATGCATCCCAGAAACATGCCCCATGAAAGACAAAAAAGACACACAAGCACCCTTAGGATAGAATTGAATGGAAAGAGGCACTCAACATACTGACAATGAAGGGAATGTTTTGTGTTGTAATTAGGCTGGCAGGAACCTGCACTAAATTCATCCGAAGACACCGAACGGCAATACTCTATTACATACACCACAAAAAGCCACCATGGGGCAGGCTGAAGGATCAACCATGGTGGTAATCATTTTGCAATCTATAAATCTATCAAATCAACGCACTGTATACCTTATACTTGTATCTCAGTAACACTGGGGACAATGATTAAATTCTATCTCAATAAATATATACAATGAAAAAAAAACTAATGACAAACTATGATTACTAACATAAAAAAAGCTGGGGAAATGGTGTAATAATGAATATTTTGTAATGTCTGCATGATCCCTTGTCAAAATTGAATAGGTTGAAAATTCATTGAATAGAATGTGACTAGATTTGGGGTTCAAAAAGAAGTCATACACACTTGTGCTCTTTTTTTTTAAGATTTTATTTATTTATTTGACAGAGAGAGATCACAAGTAGACAGAGAGGCAGGCAGAGAGAGAGAGAAGCAGGCTCCCTGCTGAGCAGAGAGCCAGATACGGGGCTCGATCCCAGGACCCTGAGATCATGACCTGAGCTGAAGGCAGCGGCTTAACCCACTGAGCCACCCAGGCGCCCCACACTTGTGCCCTTTATCAGAAATGGATTGTGAACTATGATGACTTAATCAGGAAATTCTAATTTTGTCTTCTTTTTTAATCCTGTGAATTCATTCTGCTAAGCAAATGATTATTGTAATTTTTTTATTACAATTTTGGTATTTATGTGTACTATAGATTTTTACTCCTAATACGTTTTGACATCCAGCTTATCCTTGTTTCTTCCTCTCTGAGGTAAAGCCTCGACAATATGAAGGTAAGATTTTCGGCTTCAGTTTTCTTTGCCAAAAATTCTTGCCTGGGTGGCCGTCAGGCACTTAAGAAACCATCAAATATTGTTGTCATTGTCATCGCTGTGAGTGCGGCAGTGGTGCTGGTGAGGAGAGGTCTCAGAGCATGAGAGCACTCACAGTGGGCCAGGAGAAGAGAAGTTTGCACTTTGAGGAAAGATGAGAGAATTATTTTTTTTTAAGAGATTGTTTATTCATTTGACAGAGAGAGAGAGAGAGCACAAGCAGTCAGGGTGGCAGTCAGAGAGGGAGAAGCAGGCTCCCAACTAAGCAGAGAGCTGGATGTGGGATGCCATCCCAGGACCCAGGATCCTGACCCCAGCAGAAGGCAGACCCTCAACCAACTGAACCACCCAGGTGCCCCAAGATGAGAGAATTCAGTGGCTCTTAGAGGAGTCTGTGTTCTAGACCTTACATGTGTTACCCAGCTATGATCAGGCTCTTCTTGAGTGTTGTTTTCCTGTAAGGGTGAAGGGTAACATTCTCCTGCTGCGATGAAAAAAGCTTGTCTTCTCAGGTGTGTGCATTATCCAGGCCCTCCACAGACTCTGTGTAACGTGGAGATTGTCCCCAAGTGTGTTTATAGCAAAGATCTTGTCCTCCAGGACCCCCAGCCTGGGGTTCTCTGAGCGATCTCTGAGCAGCAGAAAGTTCTCAAGGCGATCTCTGAGCAGCAGAAAGTTCTCAAGGCGATCTCTGAGCAGCAGAAAGTCTCTGTGAGTTGTCACTCACCTGACATCTTGAGCTTTCCTTGTGTGGAATTCCAAGTAGGACCTGGAAGTGGACATGGCACTGAGCAGACCAAAAGATAGTTTTGCTCATTTTGGGTTCTTTGCAAGACCTGTTTTGTATCTGAATTATTGGAGGAGAGAAATGTTAGTTGATAGGATGCTTGATTTTTCTGTCACAGCTCTGTCACATCAGCATTTGCAGGGATTGAATTTTCCAAGAATGGTACGTACAGATGGGAGAAAAATGAGAAGACATCTGATTGAGTTTCTCTATTTTTGAAAAACATTTTAAGTAGGAGTCTCACTGATATAGAAAGTCTTAGGTATCATATGCTGCTACAACTTGCTTTCTTCAGGCACAATGTGAATGCTAGCAAGTTAGTGACACCCAAGTGTCAGAGAATGTGTCTCTGGTGCTAATACACGGGGTTATTCAATGTCGCTGGTTTTGCTAATTATCTTAAAATTATTTTTTCTCCTTTCAGTTACTTTAGACCAAATAAAGAAGAAGATTGATGACTTTAAAAAGGAAAACAGGAATCTTGAAAAAAATTTAGCTAGTTGGGAGGAGAAGGTATGTGTGCCCTTTCAAATATTTTTTGTGATTTCATTTTGGTTACTTCCCCCTCTGGTAGTTCATTCTATTGATCTATTTTGTGTGATACAGGAGCAGTCCTTGAGTAAGAGAAGCTTCACAAATATAGAGCACTGCCTCTCTCTTTGTGAAAGGAGTCACACATTGTTAGATCATTTTCTCTAATATGATGCTATTTTTGAATTCTGATTCCTTTTTCATATGTTTTATAGATCAGGGAAGCAAAGAAGCAAGCTGAAACAAAGAGAGAACATAAGGTTTCCCTTGCTGAAGTACATAAATTGAAAGTAAGAATACCTTCTTTGCCTGAATTGTGTTCTAACAACAGAAATAAAAGTAATGAATTATTAGGTAACCCACAGAATGGGAGAAGATATTTGCAAATGACAGTACAGACACAAGGTTGATATCCAGGATCTATAAAGAACTTCTCAAACTCAACACACACAAAACAGACAATCATATTTAAAAATGGGCAGAAGATATGAACAGACACTTCTCCAATGAAGACATACAAATGGCTATCAGACACATGAAAAAATGTTCATCATCACTAGCCATCAGGGAGATTCAAATTAAAACCACATTGAGGTACCACCTTACACCACTTAGAATGGCCAAAATTAGCAAGACAGAAAACAACATGTGTTGGAGGGGATGTAGAGAAAGGGGAACCCTCTTACACTGTTTGTGGGAATGCAAGTTGGTGCAGCCACTTTGGAGAACAGTGTGAAGATTCCTTAAGAAATTAAAAATAGAGCTTCTCTATGACCCTGCAATTGCACTACTGGGTATTTACCCCAAAGATACAGATGTAGTGAAAAGAAGGGCCATCTGTACCCCAATGTTTATAGCAGCAATGGCCACGGTCGCCAAACCGTGGAAAGAACCAAGATGCCCTTCAATGGATGAATGGATAAGGAAGATGTGGTCCATATATACTATGGAGTAATAAGCTTCCATCAGAAAGGATGAATACCCAACTTTTGTATCAACATGGACGGGACTAGAAGAGATTATGCTGAGTGAAATAAGTCAAGCAGAGAGAGTCAATTATATGGTTTCACTTATTTGTGGAGCATAGCAAATAGCATGGAGGACAAGGGGAGTTAGAAGGGAGTTGAGGGAAATTGGAAGGGGAGGTGAGCCATGAGAGACTATGGACTCTGAAAAACAATCTGAGGGTTTTGAAGGGACAGGGGGGTGGGAGGTTGGGGGAACCAGGTGGTGGGTATTAGAGAGGGCACGGATTGCATGGAGCACTGGGTGTGGTGCAAAAACAACGAATACTGTTACGCTGAAAATAAATTTAAAAAATTTTTAAAAAGTAATGAATTATTATTATTATTATCATTATTATTTCTAAGATTGATTGATTGACTTGAGAGAAGGAAAGAGTGAGGGCAGGGGGTCTGAAGGAGAGGGAGAGAGAATCCCAAGCAGACACCGTGCTGAGTGTGTAGCATGATGCAGGGATCAATCCATGACCCTGAGATCAGAACTTGAGGCAAACGAAAGCAGGAGTCAGACACTCCACAGACTGGGCCACCCAGGTGCCACCCAAGTGCCCCAAGGAATGAATCATTGTTACTCATTCCATATATATATATATATTTCAATATATTTTCTTGAAGGAGAACATCAAGAAGGTGGAAGAGATTAATGAAAATTTGAAGGACACCCTTCATCGTAAACAGGCTCTCCTACAAGCTGAGAGAGAAAAGAATATCAAGAACATAGACATGGTAAGAGTTCGGTGTTAGTTGTCCTATAATGTGGCTCTGCAGGCTTCTAGTTCATTGGGTGAGGTGAGTGCAGTGTACTCGTGTGCTGTTTATGCAGTAGAGAGTGGGAGTCTGGGAACTGCAACTCCTACTGTACAGTGAGCTGTGATTTCACTTAGGACCACTATGATAAGGTTTGCCACTTCAAGGTCTAGGAAGTATGGTTTATTTTACAGCTGGGTAATCACATCATTCAGTGCTGCCCTCCAAGTTATGTAGAGAATCCCACAGAATAGTGAGCGATGAAGGGTGATAGCAAGCTCAATTGTATAGTAGAATTTTTTTTTTTTATGTCTTTTCCACTAAGCCATTTGTGTGTTTTTTGACATGAACTAGTTTCCTTGCTTTCTCTTTATTCTATTTATGCCTCAATGGCTTTCTTTGCTGCCCTCCATGATCCTGTCCTGTTAGGTGCCCTCATATGTCTTTTCTCAAATCTGTCTTAAAGGTCCAAGATGAATTGTGAGATCAAGAGCTGAGAGCCTTGACATCCAAAAAGCAAGAACTGAAAGGTACATTGTTTGGGGGGAAGAAATCTCCATATCATGGCAATGAGTTTGCATCGGGCAGGGAAAGAATGCCTTCCTGCCTTCACTGTCTTGCCCTTCTCCTTTCCCCAGCAAAACCAAGTTCTCAGGTCATGGCACAAACGCTCAAAAGGAAACTCATCCTTTACAGAAAGTAAAAAGTTCCTGGAAGACAAGTGTAATGCCCCGAGTTCTCAGAAAACAGCTAAAGAAGCAGAATTGAACTGCTGAAGAAGAAAATGGATGTGGTGGTGGAGTTCATTGAAAGATAAAAACTGACTGCAGAAGGGTAAGCTATTGCTGTGTTGTCATAGATACTGTTGTATGAATTTACCTGGCGGCGAGTCTAGATAACTGTATTTGGAACTTCTGGAATTGGATCTTAGAGTACTTTTGCCAAATACATTCTGTAGAATCGTGCCTGCCCTTACTATCTTGATTTGTGTAACCTGCATTTTCCTTTCTGTTCTAAGGACTTGCCACACGTTGTTGTGTGATTCATTGGGGTAGAAGGGGGAAGGTACCAGCCAGCATTAATCACTTTGATACCTGGATCCCTTCTGGGTCAGTTTACACTGTCCTTTCAGTTTCACTCTCATCACGTGATCTTAAAAGTCCTGCATTAGGTCCTTGTCTTGTGCAGCATGAGACTTGGGCCCAGAATGTGGAGAGAAAAATGGAATTCTCTTCCTGCAGAAACAAGGAAAGTTTCTTTGTGGAAAGTGGGCTGGGGCTCCAGCAATACTGGGTCCCTTCATCTGGTGTACAACTGAGATCATTTGCTGCAGCCCAATCACTAAGAAGGCCAGGATATTTCCTGTCCACCTGATTTTCTTTTTCCTTTTTTTTTTTTTTAAGATTTTATATTTATCTATTTGACAGAGAGAGACACAGCAAGAGAGAGAGAACACAAGCAGGGGGAGTGGGAGAGGGAGAAGCAGGCTTCCCGCCAAACAGGGAGTCCAATGTGGGGCTCGATCCCAGGACCCTGGGATCATGACCTGAACCAAATACTTTTAAGCAGATACTTAATGACTGAGCCACCCTGGTGCCCCTCCACATGATTTTCTAGGTGTAACTCTCCCGGATCCCAACCAAAGCCCACAGTTTCACTAAGATTCATCTTTGCTGGCTGGACCAGAACTTGCTTGTTGCATTCCAACCTGTCCCCAAAAGGTTGCTTGTTCATTTACTTTGTATTCACTTGCCTGTTCCAGAATTCACTGATGTGTCCTGGGGAGATTGGCTCCCACTGCTAGGCTGGCTTTCTCCTAGGCTTCCTCCTTCTCCATCTGGTTTTCTTGTTTGTTCATGTGCTCTTTAGAAATTGGGTGCATTCCCTCAGAAGTCTGCTCTCTTGTCCAGTGTTTCCTTTTGTTTCTCAGGAGGAGATCGGGATGTTGGAGTCCCTCATTCATGTTGAAAAGCAAAACTGTTCCCTGACTTCCCTGGAGACTCAGCTTTGTGTTATTTCTTCCCACTCCAGGGGTAGGGGCCACTCTCTCTCACAGGCACCTGGGTTCTGTTCATTGGTAAGTTCTTCTTGAGGCAGGTCCACTGTCCCGACCACCTTTCCCTCTTCAACACCATATCCCTGAGCCACACATTGACTGCCACTCCAGAAGACATTTGCTTAAAGATACTTGAGAGACCAGAAACAGATGCTCATGTCCTTCTCTTTCTAGAGCTTTTGTCTCAGTTTCTAAGAGTCTTTCTGCCTGTGGTTCTTGACAAGTGTCCTGTTGAAACCTTGTGAATCAACACCATGAACAAAAGAGTCTGAGGGCAGCCCAGCAAACCAATCTTTCTAACATCGCCGTTTGCTGCCTTCACTATCCATGAACTTGGTCTTGCTTAAGGAGGTTGAGTCAATGGAGTTGACAGTTTTCCATCTGAAGTCTGTTCCCTGGAGATAACACGGTGAATATGTGACAGTTCACATGGATTATTTGAGGACATATTTTCGGCACTAAGATTGGCCTTTTCCTACACCAGGATCTTTCACAAGGGGCCAGGGTTTGTACTTCTAAAGCCTAGAGATGTGTGGGAGTGAGTTTCCATGCCAGTGAAGCTATATTCTGGAAGGTTCCTTCGGGCTGGCTGACTGTGTCGGGCACTGCCTTGGTGTGAGGATCAGGGCTCCCCCCAGTGTTTTGAGACTAGTGATGGGCACCTGCTTTATCCTAAGAGTGTAGCTGGTCAAGCTTGGCTTTTCACTTTGATTTGAAATGAGGCTTCACCATCTTAAATCAAAGACCAACTCTGAGAGGGCACAAAGTGCAATGTTATTTAGTGACATGGTGAATGAATTGAAGTAGAGAAGTATGAAGACAGTCCCGATGGCAGGGAACTTGGCAGCAGCCAGAGTTTGATTGTTCTTTAACCCTAAATGGGGCCTTCATTCACTTCCCTGTTGTGTTGTCGGTCTGTACTTTTAGTGGGGACATTGCAACATAGGCCATCAAGTGTGCTGGAAGGATAAAAGGCAGAAATTCGGCACCTTGGCTACTGGACAATGTATATACCTTTCCCATCTTAGGAAGCTAGAAGAGACACTTTATGAACTGAATGTAACCAGGAATGAGCTGTCAGCTCTCGAAGAAAATCTGAAAGTAACCAAAGAAGAAATGGACAAGTATAGGTAAGTTCAGACACTACATACTAGTGGCTCCTGAAAAACCTGTTCCCTTTGGATTTTTAATCTTTGTACATTTTTAGGACTCAATTAAGTAATATACACAAAAATTCAGAGGATGTATCCAGAGAGAATTAACAGACACAGAAAGATAATGAACTAAAAAATTATGTTACTATACACGTCCTGATCCCCAGCGTTGGCCTGACTCTGTGGAAACTGGCTCCACACCAGTGCCCCTGGGGTGGTGTCAGTTGTCCTAATCTTGAGGAAAGCAGTTTGTGCTAGGGTGAATCCTACCCATAAACATGGTAGTGCCATCTGACGGCGCTGGTCTTTGTAACCCTGGGAACCATGGCAAGGATAGAAGTTAAAGGAGAGTAGAGCTCCATGACAAAAGACACTTGTCCTGAGATTAACTGCGGGAAGGACTGAAAATGGGTAAGGAAATTATGTCAATTCTGAACCTGCAGGCGAAGAAAAACGATTAAGGAAAGCTGTAACAATAGCTTTGATCCTACTGTCCAATTATAGTCAGGTGAAAGTGTTTCCTGTGTCAGGATCAATTGTATGAGGGGACAGATAAGAGGAGGATGGCCACATGGGCAGATTGAAAATTACAGCCAGCGTTGGGTTTTGTGTGATGAAAACAATTGTCCCTCACAGACAGCAAGTGGAAGAAATGCAAAATCAGCAGCAAGAGGCTGAGCTCACCTACAATCACAAGGTAACCTGAGTTGTGTCCAACACACTGACCCCTTGGCGCCCCCTGCAGGTGATGGCAGTGGCCCTTAGAACCCTGAACATGGGCTTTTGGTGTGTTGGCTTTTTTCAGATCATAGTTCAGGAGAGGAATGCTGTGGCTAACGGGTAAGAGTTTTCCTTTTCCTCGTCTTTGTTTGGGGCACAGTCCGGCACAACTGAAGGTGGGTGTGTTTTTCTCCCGCAGATGAAGGTTTGGGATTGGGAGAGGATAGTGCAGCAGAGCAGGGAACACGCCTACCTGAAACACAGGTGTGAGAGTTTGACGTGCGTTTTTACGGTGTTTGGAGGGGTGACGGCTATGCTGTTTAGTGCCTAGGAGAGGACGTGGTGTTGTAATTCTTAGAGATGTCCATTCTTTTTCTGTGTTCAAGACTGTGCACCATGGAAGGGGAGATGCTGCGTGTGGGATCCATGTGGCACGGACCGATGCCGGGAAGGCCTGAGTTGCTGAAGCCTCTGTGGCAAGGTAGGGAGCACGATGTGAAATGCAGCAGCCTGATTTCTGCTATGAAACCACACGGTGTCCTTCCCCTTCCTGTGGGTGATCGCTGTGTGTCCTGGAGAGAATCACAAGCACTAAGGACTGCAGGTTGTCTGAAGGGTGACAGGAGGGCGCTTTCCTCATATGCCCCAAGGCAGCAGGACACTTGCCCCTGTGACAGGTGGAGCTCACGCCCCTCCACACCTTCCCCCCTGCCACCTCCTTCGGAAGAGCTGAATCTGAGCTTTATTGCTCAATCTGCCTATGTTTTCTTTGTTCGTGACTATACAACTGTCAAAGTCCGTTTCTTCCCTGAAATGTTTACTCACTGGCCAGTCATGCATGCTAGGTCCCATTTGTAGGCTGGACAAATGAACCATCCTTTGTGGCCTGAGAAGAGAACATGGGCTGTTCATGTTGGGGGTTTGTGGATGTTATCCACCCAAGGCTATTCTCACTTAGATGTTTAATCTATGAAGAAAAAGTGATTTGCCTGATGTGTGATGAGCACCCCAATTTTAGTGTTGATTTCCAGCCAGTTGTACCCCAACCTTTCCACACACGATGGATTACTTATGGAAACACTGGAAGCAGGGTCCTGGAGTGTCTCCCACAAGAGTCAGGTGACTGGTGTCTCTCTTAGCAAAGGAGTCACTTGAGTCACGTGGGAAACCCTCTGATAAGGGACCCGAGTGTGGGAAAGAGTGCAAGATGGGAGAGGAAGGCATGGAGGGTATGCAAACCACAGTAAACCTCTGACCTTTGATCCAGCACCTAGACCGGTTCCCAGGATGAACAGCAGCACTGGCCCTCAAAAGGACCCAGAGATGGCTATTGTAAGTGCTGTGGGCGTTTTTAGTTGTGTCCGTTTCTGAAATGTATTGCAGTGTGGACAGCACCCTGTCCGGGCCTTGTGGTGTTGCGTGTGTCCTGCAATCATCCCTTTCAGAGGGCACGCCGTTCACCCGGGAGCCTCCGGGCTGCTCTGTTAGAGATCCTCAATTTCCTGCTTCCTCCCAAAGCTGTAGATGCTTAGAGACACGTGATGGTAGGATGCTCACCTCGTGCGTGTGTGTGTGCGCGCGCATGTGTGTAAATAACTCAAGGAGGATGATGTCTCACTCCACAGTGAAGTAAGCTAGTCCGGCTGACTTTGTGGTTTGCTTTCCTGCGGGAGCAGGAGCATTTTTGGTTTTCAGGTCAGGAGACTAACCTGGGAGGATGTCTGCAGAGGTCCTCACAGATGGAAAAATGGGAAAAGCCAGGACTGCCTCACACTTGTGCCACGTGCTTTGGGCAGCTTGAGCGTTGGTGGAGAAGGTGAGTTGTGACCTCCTGTGCTTTCCAATT